AATCTCATTCTATTTTAGCATATATAATTTAATTCAAATATCTGAATGGAATGCACATTCCATTCCAAGATTAATCCCAAGTTAATTACCAAACATGGGAATGATAATGCTTATTCCATTTCATTCTTATGTTAATTCTATTTTTATTCAAAGGTATTGTCGCAAATCAAAACACCCCTTAAGAATGAATTTGAATTCCTTTCATCCATGACGTTGGACTTTTAAAAAAAGAAAAATACACAAATTTTATGGGCATTTGTTAATGCCTTTTAATACTTAAAACTGAATATTTTAAACACTTAAAAGGATAAAAAAAAAAGAATGAAATTATGATTTGTTAGAATAAATCATGAAAATAAAACTTATTTATTATGATAAGTTTTTGATTGAATCAATAAGAGATTAGTTGAGATATAAGTAAATTGAGTTGCATATAAAAACAAGGGCTTTTCACACTTTTTATCCCGAAAATGTTTCAATCTTCACTTTGTATCGTGAGAGATTATTTTTTTTACATTACACCTTGAATGTCATAATAAATTTCAATGGCCCTCGGGTTAATATTTCTTTTAGATTTTATTAAAAATTGATGCACATGTCAACCACGTATGTTTTTTGTTAGGCAAAAATATAATTTATTATTCATATCATTGGATGACATGTGTATTAATTTTTAATAGAATTTAAAATAGATGTTAGTTCAAAGGTCACATTAAAACTAATTTATAATATTTAGAGTAAAATATAATTTTTTTTTTTAAATATAAAGTTTGAAACGAAATATCTTTCCAAGTGAAGAGTCGAGAAAATGAAAAACCCTAAAACAAATGACTTATTTGTTGGACTTAACCATTTTCTCACAGGACTCTAATTCTCCAATATATAAACCCAGCGACGCAGCCAGTTATGCGACTGTCGTAAATTGGTTATTCTCACAGACATTGAAGGGTTAGGCCTCGAGCTTCGACAATGGAGGGTTGGGACCCTAATACCAAATCAACCCTAACTCAGATCCCATTGCTCTCCACAAAGGCTGGTCCTCGCGACGGAGCGGCGTGGACGCAGAGGCTGAAGGAGGAGTACAAGGCGTTGATCGCCTACACGTCGATGAACAAGTCCAGAGACAACGATTGGTTTAGAATATCTGCCGCAAACCCAGAGGGCACGCGCTGGACCGGCAAGTGTTGGTACGTTCATAACCTACTCAAGAACGAGTTCGACCTCCAATTCGACATTCCGGTGACGTACCCGGCTACTGCTCCGGAACTTGAATTGCCTCAGCTAGATGGAAAGACTCAGAAGGTTCTGAATTTTGGTTCAATTTGGAATTATTCATGTTTGATTGATTAGGGCTTATGATTTAAGCAATTAATCGGTTAATTTTTTTTTTGTTTTTTTGGTGGTTTTGGGGTTGCAGATGTATAGAGGAGGGAAGATTTGTTTGACAGTGCACTTCAAGCCACTGTGGGCGAAGAATTGGTATGATTGATTATGTTGTTTTTGATTTCAATCTTGAAAGGTTAAGGTTTAGTTTGTAATTCTCATGATGTGACATAGTTGAGCTATTATACGAATTTTAGGAATTTTGATAGGTTTTCATTAATGATGCTTTGGATTAAGTAACTTTGAGCTATGTCCTGATGGAAGATTGTGATTAGATCATGAAAACTCATAGATTTATAATTGGAACATTTCTTGGAGAACTATTCACTTGAATGCGGAGATGATTTCTCCTTATGGAAGTCTTTCTGTTTCTATTGAAGATACTACTACTTATACAATTGGTTTATGTTTTGCAGTCCTAGATTTGGCATAGCACATGCTCTTTGTTTGGGTCTTGCACCATGGCTTGCTGCAGAGATCCCCATCCTTGTGGATTCTGGCATGGTTAAGCACAAAGATGATGCAGCCTCATCTACCGAATCTCAATGACTTATTTGCATGTAAGGCTGTTGAGGAGTTTGTTGTGTTGTGGAGATCATAGACTGGTGAAGTAAAATAAATTTTAGCGTCTCAATGTATAATTTATGAGATGCCTCCTGAGGTATACAATTAATTCCGGACATTATAATATATTTATCCGAATCATAATCTGGAAGTAATTTCGTGTGTTCTATCCTGAAGCTTGGTTATTCTTTTGCGTAATATGCCTATTGCATTATGCATTTTGAAGTTTTTATGGACTTATTCTTTATGTATCTGTTGATCATGCATTTTCCTGCCCATATACATAATATGCACCTTTTTCTATTGCATGTGTTTTGAACGTTTTATAGACGGGGGCATCTCACAAGTTGCATCTTAAACCTATTCTGACAAGTTGAGTATTTTTTCTCTCTCTTCTCTCTCTTTTGTTTCCCGAAAAGTAGTGAAGGCAAATTCTGATACGGTTGTGCTAGATATCATCACCACAAGGTTCCACTAACTTTCAAAAGTATCAAGAAAGAATGTAGAATATTAGACAAGAAAGGATAATTAAATTTGAATGGGAGGAATAATTGTTAGGAAAAAGTAAGCCTGCTTTGAATTTGGCTCTGTTGCTACAGGTTGATTGGAGTATTAGATGAGTGGTCCTCTATCAATACCATTTTGAATTTTGGTAGTGGTCTAGTATGGACTCTACATTTAGGGGTCAAGCATGGACAAAGCAAAACCAATTAAGGTGGATTATCTTTCATCTTTGTAACTGAAATCTTATGATTGTAACATGGGAAACGGTTAAGTATGACAGGGAAATGTTCCAATCTCTTGATCTGCCAGCTATGCTTGTTTGCCTGAAACTGAGAAACTAATTATACGTGTAGGTAATGTGGAATTTGAGCTATTCTTGTGCAATCTTCACTTTTTTGTTTGGGGTAAGTCTGTTAATCATCACTTCAATTATACGTATTTGAACTGAAAAAGTCTTGTGAAGTTGTGATCATAGACCTCCATTGTAGATTGGAATTCTAGGCGCAGCAAAATAAACTTCAATTTCTCAATGTAAAATTTATGAGATGTATCAGGAGGTATACAGTAATAGGGTAAATTAGAATATATTATGTTGGAATCATAATCTTGAAGTAATTTCGTGGGTTCACTCTTGAAGTCTGTTACTTCTTTGTAATATGCCCGTTACCTTACGTTTTTCGAGTTTGTATGCGCTTATTCTTTATGAATGTGTTGATCATGCATTTACCAGTACATTTTACAAAAAAATTAAAAAAAGACAGAGAAGGCAAGTTCTAATACTGGTGGGCTAGACATCAAAACTACAAGATTCTACTACAAGAATAAAGCTTCAAAATTATCAAGAAAGAATGTGCAATATTAGATAAGATAGGGGAATCAAATTCGATAGGATGATTGGATGAATTATTGTCGCCAAAAAGTAAGCACCCTTGCATTGATAGAATTTGGTTCTCTTGCTTCCCATTGATTTGCATATGTTAGATGTGAGGCGGACTATCAAGATCCTTGTAATTTTTGGTAGTGGTCTACAATGGTCTCTATATGTAGTGTTCGGTTATGGAGCCATGGACAAAGCAAAATCAGTTAAGGTGGAATATTTTGCAGCTTTACGATTGAAACAATATGGTTTTTACTTGGGGAAATAGTAAAGTATGTGACAGGGAAAAGTTTCAATCTCATTGTGATGAGCTGCCAGCAAAATTTATTTGCCTCACCTTGAGAAATTAATCATACGAGTTTGAGCTCTTCTTCTTGGGTTTCAGCTGTTGTTTTGCATTGAGATGTTTCAATATCTTTTCTTTAAAGTGTGTCTTTTGAAAAACCTGGTACAGATAGGTGTTTCCCTCGTTGAATGTTGCCCATTATTGACCTCATGATAAAAGGGAGTTGGTAGTTTGCTCTTCGATTGTTTGTCCTTTCTCCTCCCTCCTGACAAATGTGTAAGGGGAAATATATATCAAAAGGGCATTCAGTTCTACGCACCCATGCAGATTCGTATATGGTTCATTATGTTGCTTAGTTGATGCCTCTGCTCAGTTTAGGTTTTTTCTGCTTGTGATATGTTGAACCTGTTTGCTATATGCATACAATCTAACTTTTCCTTTTTCGGACTCAAGGAATTTTTGCGAGTTTTTATGGGATCGCACGTCATGTCAAAAGTTGTTACTATCTTCACCAATGAGTCCAAAGTGGCACTCTCTTTATAACCAGCTCCTCCTTTTTCTACCTCTTTGATATGTTTGGTGCTTCATTGTGTTTGCAAATCATTTTAAAACCTTGCCAATGTATGGTTCTTATTGTTGTTCACGTATACAATACCTTTTGTCCAAAAGCTCTTTTCTTGATCCTCAAAGAAAGTTCACGTTTAAGCTGTCCTCCTCCACCCAATTGTCCACTCTGATCAATCCTGACACCTTCTATACGTCACCCCCCCCCCCCACCACCACCACCACCACGCCCCTCCTAAATAAAGGCTGATGTTTTTGCCCCACCCATCTTCGGAAGAAAACTTCCGTCTGGGATCTTCATATTGTTAAGAACACTTGAAGTTCAGATTCTCATATTGCAGAGCCAAATGCTGTCCTAATCACTCTGAAACCAGTTAAGAATCTCTGAGGACATTTTCTTGATGGGGGAAATTATTTTAGGCATGACATAATCAATTGGATGGAAATTACAGCACAGTGAAGCGAATACATAACTAGGCTCAAGTAGACAGAAAATGAACCAAACATACAAAAGCCAGCCTTCCTAACAAATGCAACTGAGGCACATTAATAAACACACATTCTTACAACCATCTTTTTATTTGCTAGTTCAGACTCTTTCCATCAACCACAGAGCTTCTCCAACTCAGAAGATCGGACCAGCTGCCAGGATCTCCTCAGTCAGCTTGTTGTCTGTTCCAATTTTGTAGTTTGTGAATACCTCAAAGTTCTTCTTGAACAGTCCCCCCAACTTCAACAGGGTGTCCTTGTAGGCCTTCTTATCAGACCACTACAATCCAAGGCAAATACATGGATTCACTTAACAAAACGCCATAAACCCAAAAACAACAACAACTGAGACCTGAGAAGTAACTAAAAAGGAATGGTAAGATCGTATGCCAACTTACTGTGTTCACTGGATCTAGGATTTCTGAAGGCACGCCATCGATTTCAGTTGGGATCTCAAGCCCAAACACATCGGTCTTGACATAGTTTGCCTTTAGAAGACTTCCCGAGTGTATGGCATCGATGATTTTCCTGGTATAAGCTAACTTGATACGACTACCTGATCCGTAGCTGCAACAAAACAGAAGATCAAATTTATCTCCATTTGGTGTTTTGTTTTTGGAGGATTTCTCTCCAATTAATTGAAAATGCATCATAGTAGAAGATTCTTATGATGAAGATCTCACCTTCCACCTGACCAACCAGTGTTAACAAGCCATCCAGTTGCTCCGTGCTGCTTCATTTTCTCAGCCAGCATGGCTGCATACTTAGTAGGATGGAGCATTATAAATGCTGCACCGAAGCATGCCGAAAATGTTGCTGTTGGCTCCTTTATACCATCCTCTGTTCCAGCAACCTGTTCCAATTATCGCAAGATACATTACAAAAATGTGATTCTGAGGAGTACAAGTTTGAACAGTTTAGCCGTTTTGCAAAGAATGTCAATCGTGTAGTTCCTTCGAAGCGAAAAAGAGTGTTTAACAAGAATGCACCAGAGCTGTGTAGCCGCTGATGAAGTGGTACATGGTCTGGGCAAGGCTCAGCTTGCTCACTGGGGGGAGCACGCCAAAAGCATCACAGGCCAGAAGAATGACATTTTTGGGATGAGGACCAACGCATGGTATCTTAGCATTAGGGATGTATTCTATTGGATATGCTGCCCGAGTGTTCTCTGCGATAAAAAGAGTCAAGTCACAACATGAAACAACACAGATAATTGTAAAGACTTTGTAACTCTTTGGGTGGATTTCAATCCAATGTTATTAGTCATATGTTAGAGTATCAAACCCAAAACCTATTTTGTATGTGCCTCGGTATATTGTTTGAAACCCCAAGATCATACAGCTCATTCATAAATATATATGACTGGTGTATTTTTACCTGTTACAGATTTATCGGAATAATCCACTTCTCGGGTATGCTCATCAAACACCACATTTTCTATCACTGCCACAGAAGCAAATATGTTAACTCTCGACTTGAAAATGTGCTAATGTTCCAGTAAAGGACAAAATCATGGACAATGAAGGGCCAGGATGATACCAGTTCCAAACTTGATGGCATTCCAGATATCAGGTTCCTTTTCCCTAGCGAGATCAATGCACTTTGCATAACAACCACCCTCAATATTTGACACACCATTTTCACTCCAGCAGTGCTCATCATCTCCGATTAAATATCGGTTATGATCTGTAGATAGTGTTGTCTTACCAGTCCCTAAGACAAAAATAACCAAATCAAAAGTAAAATCAATACCAGAGTGGATAGAAACCAAAACAAAAGGAAAGGCCAAAAAGAGATCTTGAGAGGGCACACATATCAGATGGTAAGGTGTGGCTCCACGGTGAGGCAATGATCCCATGATTTTATACCTGATAATCCAAAGAAGAGGGCTACATCGCCATCTTTCCCAACATTGCAGCCAGAGTGCAGGGAGAGGATTTGACGCTTAGGCATGAGATAGTGCATAACGCTGAACAAGCCTTTCTTCATTTCCCCAGCATACTGGGTGCCTAGGATGACCATTTCCCTCCTAGCAAGATTGAGGTCTATGCTAGTGGAGGATGTCATATAGTGTGTGTAACGGTTACATGGGAATTGCCCGGCGTTGTATATTGTGAAGTCCGGAGTACCAAAATCCTCCAGCTCTTCAGGAGTGGGTCGTATACACCTGTAACCCACCCAGTTATCGTATGCACTAAACTTTTACACTTTTGTATTTCTTTCTGCAAATCCTTTAATCCACTCAAATACCACTTCTTATTGCTGGGTAAAAGGTTTACCACAGTTGAATTGTATATAAGAGAGAATTTGGCAATAGTACTTATCTGATGATAACATTCGTGGAATGTAGAATATAGATACAAAGAATCCTTGTAATTGTGTGAACATCATTTACTTACATGTTGTGCATGAACAAAGAGTGGTAAGCTCTGGCAGATACAATCCTGACTTTGATGCGGTGATTTGGGTCCCAATTGAGAAATTGATCATTCACGAAAACCTAAAATGCAAACGTATAGTTAGTCATCATAATACCAATCTATTTGACTTAGATGATAATATAACGTAAAGAAGCACGGATATAAGAAGCTACGATTATCATTTGGCCACCCCTTAGTGGTCCAATACTAAACCAGAATTAACCATGCTAAATGAAAAAAATGTAGACGTTTCATATTCAATTGAGTCAACTCAGATTGCGTTTTTTATGTTTTCCAACTAGTTTGCCTTCAGCTATGTAAAAATGAAAGTCATTTAACTGGCATTTTGTGCTTTTGCAGATGCCAGGTATTTCCTCCCTCCAAAATACCAGCAACCTAGCTACAAATGAAGAATAATCTGTTCACATGGCTATATAATGGTTGGTCTTAGGCTCTTGGCATACAAAATCCCAACTTCAGATTTTTGATCCATGTACTATTAACTCAAAGGTTGAAGTGGCGAACATTCGAGGGCGAAAAGCCCACCGTAGACAATGAAACTATAAGCAGGGGAGTCAGCAATCTACCTGGAAAGCACTTTGTCATGTCCCTCAAGCAAAACTTAGCTATAGGGTTGTAATGTATCTGTCTAAGGCAACTTTGTTTCATCAAACCTTTAGGCAAAGGTGAATCCAAAAACAGTTGACCTGAGGTTATACATCATTAAAATGACTTAAGTTCGATAGCAAAATTTATACTGTATACTGATACACATTTTTGGCCAGAATTTAAATGTGTTGTAATATATGCTATGCCCATTCCCAACAGATTACTAGAACTACTTGTATATATCACTAAAGTCAAATTTCCTCTTGTTCAACATATATTGTCTAAGTTTATGAAAGAAAGTATAGAAATCCTTGCCGTTCCATTTCAAGGGGTTGAGGGACCAGCATCTATTCATCTAAATCTATCCTCCAGATCTGGTCATGTTGTGGAAAGTGATTAACACCCCCTTATATGTATTGGCATCAATAGATCCAGGCCTTTCACTATCTGGAGAACAATAAGGTCCCCAACATTTATGTCCCTAGCATAATTGAAAGTGATAAAAGTGGAAGTGTCATGTCAGGTTTCAAGATTCTATCCCAACTTTTGTATATCCTTCCAATGCTCAGTTGCTGGCCTTGTGTGCAAGAGTTTGTCATTCTTCTCCATTAACTATTCCTTCGGGTGATTGGGATTGAGATTCTCACCCATCCATTTTCTCTCAATATTCCTCAACACCATCAATATATCATCCACCATGTTTCGGTGAAGGACCACTCAAATACCACCGATTGGGGTATCGATCGAATTTCTTACAATGAGGTTAGAAGTTCGGGTCTTAGAGTTCATATTGGGGCTCGGTGGTTAACTGTTATACTAATCTAATTAATTTCGTTTCCGAGAAAAATAACGGGCATAACCAAGGGCTTTATGATTCCACCATTGAGTGAGAGGGTCTATTGGAGTGATCTCTGAGCCTATGATTCCACTTAAATAAAGTGTTGCATTCGAATTCATTATGAAAAATCTGCTATTTAAGAAAATATTAAAAAAAAAAGTAACAGCGTTGTTATAGAATCAAGTTCTTACAAATTTTTTAAAATTTTTTGTGAGAATTTAAATCAAGTGATATATAATAGCAACAAGATTACGTGATAATATTATATTGGGTGTACACGACACGACACATTTCACAGTGCCACCCGTTAAATCCTTCAAAATTTTCTCCAAAATTTCTGGCTCCATTCTAAGGACCCATAGGCCATACTATTTAATGCAATATCAAATGAAGTTGAAATGAAGACATCGCAGTTCACAATAGCCCCCGTTCTACCCTAAAAATGCCCATGTAGGATGACCAAAAAAGAGCAGATCCAGTCAACCAATTTAGGATACTTCGGTCAATATGAGAGAAGAAGCAGCCAAGGAAGGTACGTAGTGCCATCATCATTATCACAATCAATTATGCATTGACACGAAGAAGCCAACAACCATAAACAATAGTAATGGCACTGCAACGAAATGTGCATCGTGACAGAAAATGGATTATAAGTCAACAATAGATGGACTACCCTTGATTTTCGTAGAGATAAGCATCCCACCCAAGACTTAAAAATTAGAAAGTACCTCTTAAGCCAGAAAAATAATTATTCAATTTTTAAATTTATATAAATCACCGAAATGCACGCATTCTCTCTCATTTCTAACATGTCACTGTCTTATCATTTTACATCAACACCAAATTCAACGTACTGATTTATATTGACATGGACCACATCTTGGGTTTTGGGTAATTAAAAAGAAGAAATTTTAGAAATTTTTGCAAACAAATTATTAAGAAACAACGGATGGTTCCTGGAAAATGATGATAGAGTAGACTAAGGCAGGTGGAAGCACTTTAGTATTTAATAATTGTTGACTTTAGTGCAAATGGTACCAAATATAACCACTTACCCAATCAAGTTATATCTGATATCATATAGTGACGATACTGTCAAATAAAATAAATACCTTGTCCAATGAGCATAAGTAATCGACGGCTCTTTCTCTGTTTACCAAGAAAGTGTGTTCGTCCATTTCAATGTTGGGGGAGCCCCTAAAAACGAGTTAAAATGCACCATTTCAATGAGCAAAATTGTGACAATTGGAGAGAAGAGTGAAAGGTGACACGACCACTTACTTCCCCCACCAAAGCTCATCTGCGGTGCTCTCATCCTTGACAACGCGTTTATCCCTTGGCGAGCGGCCTGTCTTTGCCCCGGAGAGTGTGGCTAAAGCACCACCGGACGTTATGAACGACCCTTTCTCGTACTTTATGGCTTGCTCATAAAGCTCTACATAGTACAGCAGGTTATGGTAAGCATGAATCACAATAATATCAACACAAGGAGAGATGGGGGCTGTTGGGGTGTTAATCCAGAGGAGATGTTCTTATTCGATTTGGTAAGATTTGACTCGAATTAGACTTGTGTTTTAAACGAGTTGAATTTAAATAATTTTTTAGACTTGTGTTTTAAACGAGTTGAATTTAAATAATTTTTTAGACTTGTTTTTTAAAAAGCTCGGCTCGAGCTCGCACAATTCAGCTCGTTTATAGGTAAAATAATTGAGTTACTTAGACTCGACTTGGATTTGGCTCGGCCTCGGGTTCGACTCATTTTCTAAATAAATTAGAGATTGAACAATTTTTTAAACTCATTTAGAAAAATGAACTCGACAAGTTCGAGTTCAAGCTCGCAAAGTTTGACTCGAATACCACCCTAGTGAGCTGTTTGAATTTGGGAAAGAGAAGAAAAAAAATACCTAAATTGTAATTATTTCTAACAAATCACCACAATAGATCGCAATAATAATATTTACAAATGTCTAAATAGATTTTTACTGTATCAAAATTTACTAAAATTATGGACTCATGGTTATACCCACCATCTATTTCTTCAGGAATTAAATATATCCACAAAATGGCTCTTTTCAACTCTAGTGTTTTTTAAGATTTCTCACTCTTAATGAGGGATTAAAATATTTAATCTGATCATGTGGTGAGTAACCCCAGATTCGGTTGACCATTCTTTTTGTTCCATTATCTTTTCGCTTAATGTCTACAGAATCTTTCTTATAAGCTTACTGAATTTCCCATATTGGGTTACTACGTCCCGTTAGCCAAACACGAGATTATGTATGGTTTGGCGACTTCGGACTATAACAAAATGGATCTAACACATTCGGATCAATATGAATCCAGATGCACACAAGATGATATATTATGAATATAGGCACAATCTTTAATCCATCTATATTATTATAAATGGATCATGATTAAAAATTAATCGACTTAGACGCTGTCAAATCATTTTCTGTTTAAATGGAAATAATAGTTAAACTTAACTCAACTATATGTATTCAACTCAAATTCAAACAAAGCCTTATCCTGACTAGTTAGGGGAAGAAATGACAATTAAAAAGTAATTAACATATCTAAGTTCCATTATCTAGCAAGCAGTGTTTAGTTTATATCAAAACTTTGGGTTTAACTATGGTAGCCAAAAATTATTTTTTAGTGTAATACTTTCTAAAAAAAAATTCAACGAGATGTGTCATGTATGAAGTTCTTTTAATATTAAAGTTTGATTTTTTTAAATAAAACAATTAAAAATCTTGTTTTTTTGGTATTGGATATCACAAAATTTGTTTCAACACTATTAAATTTACCCTAAAGCTTTTATTGCAAAGTTAATTAATGACTATGAGCATGACAGATATTTCAAAGGGCATCTTCAATGGTGACCCGAACTCAAACTCAAATTTGAGTAAAAAAATAAGTAAAAAATTTGATTTGATATAAGAATTCTAATTGATAAACTTAAATTTAAAAAAAAGTGAAATATGACAATTGAATCTTTTAAAAAAGTGAAATTTAACTATTGAAAATTTGAATAAATATTTGAGTTTGCCTTAGTTTAAGTAAAAAGTTGAGTTTTCTTTAATTTGATATAGGTTTGAGTTAAAGACTGAAACTTATTTTTAGCTTATTTTTATTCAAATTTAAATTTGAATAAGAGTTTGAGTAAGGAGTTAAGATGTCCTAATTAAATTATGAAAACTCAAGGTAGTTCAAATGATAATATAAACGAGCTATAAACCCGACGTCTTGAATTCGAATCTTAACAACTATTTAGAATAAGAATTTAATTTTTTCATAAATATCTTAATTTTAATATGAATGATTTTATTTTAATGTATATGTAAGTTAACCAAACACCTTTTAGCAATGAAAATAGAAAATGTTATGAAAAAACGTCATGAGAACAAAGTTTTACCCGCAGGAGAGAGATTGTAGAGGATGTGGGTAAACTTGAGGCCGCTATCACTGGTGCTGAGGGTGGGAGCATAATGGTGGTGGGTCACATGTGACACCTTCGGCGTTTCCGACTTCCTTGCCGGGTCTCCTCTCACCACCTTCGGCCCCGTCTCCCTCGTAAGTGATGCCAATGAAGCACTAATCACATAAACACCATTTAATCAAGCCTTCTTTAACATCATTAATCAAAGTCTATTTCGGTCTCTCCGGTGGATAAGCAAAACATAAACATTTCAATGCATCTATGAATTTTTTAAAATTATTTTTATAATATTAATCAAAACATATTAAAATAACATAAAAATTATGATATTTGTGAGAATTTATTCGCTCTTTCGGAATGTCTTCTCTACTGAAGGATTTTGATTGACCTGACATAAGACTATGCTTTATGTCAGTAACTTTTATCTCTCAATCTTCGTGGGCACACTTGTTCCACATCGACGGAGAATCGTCTCTCCCCTCACATATAAGTCTTAGTATTATACGGAGGTGCCTTGTATGCAAGGGGGCAGACGACTCTCCATCGTGGGACAAGCGTGTCTGCGGAGATCGAGAGATAAAAGTTATTGGCATAAAGCGTTGGCTTACACTAGATCAACCAAATTAGATCAACCAAAATCCTTCGGTGTGGGAAGGCTATCCCGAACGCGCAGATAAATTCCTTAGAATATTCAATTACTAATTCCTTTCGGTTTAACGGAAAAATTACGTACCTGATGGATTGGAGCTGTTGTTGCTGGCGTTCTTCTTCGGAGATGGCGGCAAAGGCGCCCTCGGTTCCTTTGATCGGAGTTGTCGGTGCCGATTTTTTCCTCTGAAGTGAATGTAACTCGTCAATAGTCTTAGCTTTCACCGGAGTAGCACTATCGTCATGGCAGATCTCATCTTGATTCTTCTTGTGCGTTTGAATTTTCGACAGGCCATTGCGGCCCCTTATGTTGCTCGCAAAACTGAATTCTCCGTTCTCTGTTCCGTTCGACGCCATTTTTTCCTCTGCAATAAAGAATCACACAATGTTAAAACTTTGCTTTCAACACACAGACATATATACACCGATCGGCATATAGATAAACTCCAAAGACATATATACACCGATCGGCGTATAGATAAACTCCAAAAAAATCTTCGAAAAGGCCGTAAATACTGGACTGGATCCTTAAAATAGGAACATAAGTGTTATATTAAGAAAACAAATCTTTAAGATTATCTAGTAGCTGTTTCAATATTAAAATTCATCGAATTTTTTGATTCAGGATACTAAGCATTATTATATGCATAAAATGGAAGACAGAGAGAGAGAGAAACCAACCAGAAATTAAGGAAGATATTGCTGATCAACGAAATGGTAGTGAAGAACGAAAATAAGAAAAAAGGGATAGAGAGAACTAGAAAGGTTCAACCATTCAAGTAGGCTATGGAGGTCTCTTAGTAGAGACGATGAGAGAGAAAAGAAAGGATGTATTCATTGGCCACAAGGGGACACAGGCTTTTATAGAGTTCACTGGAACAAGTGCAGCTAAACCCTGGTCAAGTTTAACCATGGTTAGTTCCTTAACCCATCCAAAGTTTGAAGTCCCAGATGGGGATTAGTTAAAAAATAAATTCAAAGTTTGAAAAAGGCGAAAAACTCCAAAAGCCGAATTAAACGCGAAACAGAATTCGGGTCGAAGCTGCCTCTCAACTAAAAAAATAAAAGCAAGGGCCCTCTTGGTCTTGGACAAAGAGTTTTAGGGGATTAAGATCCATCTAAGAGTAATTAGTACTATTTAAGTATGGTTTACTGTGCGGGCTTGATCCTGCACGATATATAAAATATTGGGAACAGATCTCTCCCCTGGTGAACTTTGGGTGAGCCGGTTGAGTGGCCAAACACACTGCTCGGAACAGCCTACAAGGAACGGTGGCAACCTGGAACGGCAAAGGAAGATCCTGGGAAAGGAAGAACGATCCTGTACGTGCGAAAGGTATTTCCTGGAACAAAGGAGAACGAGTTAGAAGGGCGCCGGAGTGTTTTCCGGCGTATCCCCTCCGACGGTCTAGTCAGTCTTTTAATGAGAGAGAGGAAGGAGAAAACATTGATGAGGATAATTTGTAGTAGTGAGTTTGTGATTGCCTACTGACTTTGCCTTTTGGGAGGAGTATTTATACCTCAGAAGCTCATGATTGCTGTCAGTGTGGTCAGTAGGTGATCATCAGGCACTGGTAGCGTGTGTATTGATTTGACGAGGAATGTCTTCTCTAATTGACTGCTCGGGGTCCCGAGCAATCAATGTTGAGTCGTCGGGACGCCGACGGTACAATATGCTCCTTTCGGGAAGGATGTAATAAATGCTCCGTAATAGGAGCATTTATTGCCTTTCATATCCGAACCTTACCGCATTGAATGCGGTCTCGTCAACAGAAGGGTGCAATTAGTTGTTTGCTTCCCAAAGCGCATGTCAGCAATAGCATGCGGTTTGCCTGTTTTTGATGTGATATCGTATGCCACGCGTCCGTCACGTATTGGCTATGACTTCTGTATTCCAGCATGTTCTGACATTACTTGTGTAAGACGAGGTCATGATGAATAGTCTAGACTGGCATAGGCTGATGTCCCGTACGTCAATAACTTTATCCGTGAGTAGAGGAAGCGTCCAGGATGGAGTGACCCTCGGCGCCGAGGAAAGGCTCACCTCGGGGGACCAAGGGGTGGTGTGTTCCCGAGGTACATGGTGACCGAGGACACGTGTCGTTGTATAATGCACCGAATATGTGATCCTATATGAGAGGTACCTCGGGGGAGAGGACGCTTTTGCCGATGGTGCTTGAACCCGAGCAACATTGTTCTAGAAACCCCCGAGGACACGTGTCTTCATCATAGGCTTTTCAGAAGAGTCCCATCAACTGCCCCCCAGCCTTCGATCTTCTGACGCCGAGGACACGCGTTGTCAGGAGACGAAGGGTTTTCCAACTGCCATCTGTCCTTCATTATGGCCTCGAGCAGCTTTCCCCGTCTTGGGATGTCGTGCGCATTAAATGCGCCGTTTTGGTTCTCCCGCCCAATGATGACAGTTTCCCCCTATATAAAGGGGGTTCTTCTCCGGTTTCCATTGTTTTGCCATTCCGATCTCTGACCCAGAATAGGCCTTTTCTGATCTGCTCGCCGGAGTTTTTGTTTCCTCAGCCATCATCGACAGCATCTTCTCTTAAAATCACAGTCAGTAAACCCATTGTTGACTCCTGGTCCTTCCGGTGCGAGTCATTTTCAAAGTTTTTCCTGAAAAACTCCGTTTCCGACGTCTTCTGGTGAGTTTCACAACCTTCTTCTTTATCGTCCTCCTGGCCTTCTTGTTTTCCGATTTGAACGGTGGTGTCATCCGGTCGGTACGTCTTGATTTAAACCCTCGGGGAACTTCCTCAGGTTTTCAAGAGAGAACATCTTTTCCTTCCCTTTCTTTTAGAGATGCCTCGTCGTCGCCCTGTTCCCGAGAATCCATCGGCTGGTCCCTCGGGGTCAGGGAAATACAAGGTGACAGGCGAGGCGCAGATCGATAGGTTCAGGGCGAAGTATGGCATCCCCCCGAGCGTGGACGTAGTGGGCTTTAACCCTTTGTTGAACTCTCCTACCTTCGGGGCCGCGGATGCCATGCCTTTCTATACCAAGACCATCATAGAGGGTGGCATTAGGTTTCCTTTACCCCCCCTGCTTCTTCAGTTCCTGTCTCGCTTCCGTCTCTTCCCCGGGCAATGCTGCCTCAACGTCTTTCGGATAATTATGGGGGTCCTAGAGCTCAATAGGCGCCTCGGGGTGAATATTGGGCTCAACGATCTCCTTTTCTGTTACTCCCTCCTAAGAGTCATGCCCCACCAACATTTCTACCTCAAAGCCAGGGACCCCTCTATGTACCTTGTAACCCATCTTCCTGACTCGGACAAGGGGTACAAGGACGACATCTTGATCTTCAAGGGATGTTGGGAGAGGGGTGTTGGTCCCGAGTACAATGACTTATTTTGCCCTCGGGAATGGAGAACGACAAGTACGTCGGTTCCTTTGGGTCTTTTTATTTGTTTCTTGGGACTTCTCATGTTTATGACAATCTTTTTTGTTGTGCAGATATTCCTTCTCGGGAAACAGCTCCACCCCCTCGGTCGCTGGTCAATTTTGCCGACTTAATAACGGTTTGGAGTTTCACGGGCGCCGACGGATTTGGCCGAGCTGCCCATAATCTGCTGCACTATACCCCCGGGTATAAGAAGTTCTCACAGCTCCCTCAACCTTTCGAGCCTTCACAGTGGTCAGAGCTCTTTGATCAGGCGGCGAGGTTAGAGGTCGAGCAGAACTTGGAGGAAGACCCGGATCGGGCTTCAGAGGGAGAGGTAGAAGGAGTTGCTGAGGTCGGGGTCAGAGAGGACGTTGCTCCTTCGGACGCCGAGGTGGGGACTTCGGGAGGTGACCTGTGGCCGGATTTTCAAATTCTCCAATCTTTGGACGCCGAAGACGCTCTCGAGGAAGCGATGTCCAACGCCCCTCGCATCAATTTGGGGTTTCTTAGGCAGAGGCAATCCCTCGCAGCCGGGAGAGGCCGAGGGACGACCGGCGGTACTCCGGCAGGAACCAGTTCCGCCAATTCTTCGAGGGCTCCCGGTCAGGGTCAGGTGCGAGACCGGGATCCTCAGGTGGAAGAAGAGAGGAGGGTAAAGCATCGGCATGACGGCCTCAGCCGGGGACCCAGGGCATCTCCCGCTCAACCTCAAAGCGGGAGGGATCGTGGATTACCGCCTGCTCCCCCACAACAGCAACAACAGCAGCCCCGACAACAGCAACAGCAGCAGCAGCAGCAGCAACAGCAACAGCAGACCCCTCCTCCCGTTCCGCCTCGGGGGGAGGCCGCAGAGTGGAATCCTCGAGCCACTGATCACATGAACAGAGTGATCAGGGTCGATGATTCTATTCTGTCGGATCCTCATGTCGCTAATGCAGTGAGTGAGACACTGCATTTCGAGGCCGACATGGAGGCTCATAGGGGGCGATCAACCAACGTGTTGTTCCGCTCCATGATCCAGAATTCCCTGGTGGTGAGTTTATTCCTGTTTTGATCCCTTCACTCTCGTTTTCTATTTTTTGTGTTTTTAACACTCTTTTCCTTCCTTTACAGGCTACCCAGCAGATTTCTATCATTGCTGGCCGGTACTACGCGTCCAGGATGGATCTTCAGAGGGCCAAGGATCAGAAGGCAGAAGCGGAAGCTGCCCTTGCTCGGGCAACGGAAGATGTTGCTGCCAGGGATTCCACCCTGGTGGGGCAGGCTGCCCAAATAGAGCAGCTCCTCAAGGACGCTGAATCGGCCAAGTTGGGCGCTGAGAAGCTAAGTGCCGCACTTGCCGATGCTGAGAGGAGGATTACTGAGCAAACGCAGCGGCTCTCTGCGGCGGAGGAGAGGGCAGTGGGCTCCGAGGAAAGCTGCCTGGCCCTTACCCAGGAGCTAGATAGGATCAGAGCCGAGGAGCTGAACCGGAAGTCGGAGCAACAACTTCTGGAGGAGTTTGCCGATGACGTGCTCCCCGCTCTTGAAGAAAACAGCAAAGAGTTCTTCAAGAAAGGGTGGGACGAGGCGCTCCAGGCTGCTGGAGTCCCGTCAGACTCCCCTCTCTTCCAAGTGCACAAGTATGTGCCCTCGGCAGAGATGGAGCAGGCAGAAGCACAGGTTGCTGCCGAGGATGAAGCCCCTACACCGATGCAAACCTCGGCTGATGCTCCCGAGACGGTGATAGTGGACTTGTCCGAGGACGCTCCGTCCGACCTTGCCCCTGAACCTCAAGCTGCTCAAACTGTTCCAGCTGTTCCTGCTGCCGAAGTTCTTCTCCTGCCCGCCCAGAAGCTTCCCAACCTTTTATCGCTGATTCGCCCTCGGCCGAAGTTCTGGAGGTGCCTGGAGCCCGATGAAGCTGCTTTTCATTTCCCTTTTTTTTTGTACCCCTTTTGCTTTCCTTTTGTAGCTTTTGGGGACGCAAAGCCCCTATTCCTTTTGGAAATAAATAACTAGTCTTTTCATTTTTCTGTCTTCTTCTGTATACAGCAGTGTTCTGCTTTTCTTTACTTCTGTTTAGAATAAATCATAAGTGTTTTTGAACTGTCTTCGGGGCGTGCTGGCCCGTTCCGGAGGCGAGATCTTGTATCTACTCTGGGGACTTGGGGTGCTTGTGTTTTGTTCTCAGGACCATTTCTTTACGAATGCTTGTTTCCAGTTTTTGCCTCGGGGACAGTAGTCCTTGCACTCTGTCCCCAGGGCCATACCCTTGCAGGAGGCTTGCTCCTGTCTGTACTTCGGGGATGAGGGTCCTTGAACTCTGTTTCAGGGCCATACCCTTGCAGGAGGCTTGCTCCTGTATGTACTTTGGGGACGAGAGTCCTTGAACTTGTCCCCAGGGTCATACCCTTGCAGGAGGCTTGCTCCTGTATGTACTTCGGGGGCGAGAGTCTTTGAACTCTGCCCCCAAGGCCA